CTCCCCCTTGGCACAGGTTCCAGTGCCCAAAGCTGGGAACCCGCCCTGCAGGGCCTGGCCTAAGATCAGCCCAGAGGGTGGGGTGGAGCATGAAGTGGCAGCCTGGGAAGTAAGGAGACTGAAGGGGCCAGCAGCTGGAGCTCCCCGCCAGCACAGAGGTCTGTGCTGACTGAGTATGTTAAGTGACAAACAGGAACAAAGACATATTGGGAGGGGAAGGAAAAAAGCATTCCTGGTACATTCTAAAAACAAAGTACAAAAGTAAAATAAAGAGTATTAATCTATTTCCTGCAGTGTCCCAGCACCTGGCATGGGGAGGGGTTACACCTCTCATCTTCCTTAATTCTCACAACTCCTCCTCTGTGACTAGGCTCAGAGAGGTACATTAACTTACCCCAAGTCACACAGCACATTATGTTGGGGGTGAAGTCAAAGGCAGGCCTGAGTCCAAAGTCTAACTCTGCCACAACGAAAAATGCTCTGTATCCCCCAGCACCCACATTCTGCCTATTCTATTCGGATCAGAATGTGACAAACATTCTGAAATTTGAGGGGAGCTGTCCAATTAAGGCCCAGTGAGAGCACAGTGCTTGAGGTGGCCTACTGACACCCTGGCCACACAGACCCCTCTCTGGGGGCCAGAGCCAGCTCCTTCAAAGGACTTGAAAAAGACTGCTGGCCCATTGACTGCTGAGCTGACGAATCTCTGGAGAGAAACCATAAGCACTTCCTCCAAGTAAGCACGGCCATGGACAGCTCCTAGAGGAGTGGGCATCCCTGTGTTCCCACAAAACTATTTGCAAAATCAGGCAGGTGGACCACAGTTTTGTGACCACTACTCTAAACAAGACCAGTCACTGCCCTGCTGGACAACAGCAACTAAAGGCTGCCAGTGCAGTTGGCAGAAAGAGGAACTGCTTTGCAGCTGACAACCACTTCCTCCCGGCATCCTTCAGATGGCCCAAAGCGGGAACCTCTGACGCCCCGAAGCAGCTCTGCTCACAAAAGGCGAGTCCTTTCTCAGGACTTTCTGCACCAGCTTGTGGGCTGGCTAGGTCTAAAGGGCCTTTGTACGGGGGCTTTGTGAAAAGGTGACCGCAGCATCCACTAAGAGTGAGCAACCTGTTGCACTGAGGCACCACTGCTCAGGTCCTGAACCAGGCAAGGAGCGGCATGTGGTCAGGGCCACATCCTCCATCAGAGTGTGAAATGAAATGCACCAGGGTCTCAAGACTCCCCTTTTGGCCTCTCATTGGAGCACGCGACACTCGCAGCCTTTTGCCTCTGACTTAGTCACACGGGACATAATCTGCCGTTTCACTCTAAGTAATCCCTACTTCTCTTGCCAAGCAGCTTAAAAGATAGTCCTTCCACCCACACCCCCATCACTTAGTCCTGTCTGTAAAATTCCTTTCACTGTCTTTCTAATCCTGAAACTCTAGCCAACACCAAGTACACCAAGGGTGAGCACTGGCAAAGAACTGCAGATGCCATGACCTGTCATGTGAAACACAGTTTTCTCCAGGCCTAGCTCAGCTGCAGAGACTGACCCCCTCTCCAAAAAACAAATCCTACTTAATCTGAATGGTTTCCAAGCACCAAGTAGTAGTATTTCCTGTTTCCCTGTAACTCCTAAAGCATCTCTACACTGAAGCAGGGACTGATTCAGCTCTGAACAGACTCTAACCTGTTTTCAACAATGCCACTGGGCCAGGTACCATGGTATACCAAGAGACATACCCCAAATGAATCACATGTCGAGCATTCACAAAGCACTTCCAGTATTACACCTGGCCTGCCCCTAATGGAACATGGGAGAGAAAAATGTCCCAGGATGGCAGGTAAACAGATGCCGAAGTGAATAACGCAGACACAGCCCTGCTGGGGGAAGCATCAGGAGGAAGCGAGAATTCACACTTGGGCTGTCCGTAAAGAGACCTCCCTGGCAGCAGTGGGCCCAGACTCAGAACTTGAGACAAGAGGTTAATGGTTTAGAGGCTTGTGGCATAGTGGGCAGTGGGCCCCAGGCTCAGTCCTGAGACAGGGAGCATGAGGAATTAGGGGAAGGGAGACCAGTTGCAGCCCAGCTCCCCACCCCACCCCCAATCCTGTCTGTCGGCTATTTAAAAAAGCACTCCTCCAGGAAAATGTCCTGTAACCACCTCTCCCACCATGGCTCCATGGCCAAACTCCCCACCAAGACATTCTGCATTTAATAGCAAACTCCAGGCACTCTCCAAGCCCATCAGGTTCCTGGAAGATTCCAGGTCTTTCATTTGTTGGAACTCATCCCCTTTAAGCTTCCCCACCCAACTCCTACCCAGGCACTCCGCAAGCACAGCTGCTCAATAAACACTAGTCAAATGCCCAGCAGGAAATCTTCCATCAGCCCTAAGAATATCTACCAGGTATGCTTTCATTAACCTGAACTGTGAGGTCAGGGCTTGGGAGATTTTTACAGGTGAATCAACATCCTGTGTCTCTTCTATCACATAATTACTAGCGTCCCACATCCCACTTGGCTAAACATCCCCTCCCCTCCACCCTTATCCTCAGATTCCTCACTGAAGGTTTAATTACCTAGGGGTGAATCTCTGGGACATTTCTTCATCAGAACCAAAGGGGGAAAAAACTGAGAAGAATGAGTACCTTACACATTTTCTCATCTGAAGTACAACACTCTACTACCAAGACTAATGGAAATTAACATTACTCTTTCTGGCAAAAGTCACATCTGTGCCTAAAACCAATCCTCGTTTACTATCAACTATTTTATGAGACAGAAACTGTATCTGCTGCATTACAGTCACATTTGAAATTTTGAGTTTACAATTTGGAAATCTAAAATTGGTTAAGTGGATGATAATGTAAAAAGGCAACTACAACACAGATATATCCTGATAGATTAATAACCCTCCCCCAAAGGACTCCTATACAATAAAGCATACTTTTTAAATAGTCTTGACAGTAAAATAAAGGGATGAATTGACTTAACTGTGCAAAGTAGTTAATTGGCTCTGAACCTATTGTCTCAGTTAGTAGACAGTCATTGCCTTAAAACAACCCAATGAACAAGAGCCATGGGAAATCGGACTCAATATATAAGACAGAAACGCTCAAGTCGAGATGCAAGTGAATGACCACCAAGACTCACTATTTAAAAAGAAAAACGAAACAGTAAAACATACACTCACGCTTTAAAAGGAAAACACAGCTAATAAAAGCCTATTTCTATCCTGGACATGACTGTTATTTTCTGGGAGGTCAAGAGTGGAGAGCTTAGCCAAATGACGAATGGAAACAGTGGAGCGTTGGGGAGAGAGGGAACTGGAGCACTGACATCTCAAACCCTGATTTCTACCCATGACGGTGGTTTTGTGGTAACTCGAGTTCTCATTTCCTGATCATAAGATCGTGCCACACTGGGGATGGTCTCCGTCAGGCTTCTGGAACTTGAAGAGGGATCTGAATCTTTCTGGGAAGCCGATGCCTGGCAAACGTTGGGCTGGCAAGGCACAAAGCCAAGCGCAATTACGTAGGCTCAAGTGAAAGACACGGGAAAGTTAGAATAAGGCTTGTGAACTGCCTAGGATAAATATAGGTAACAACTATTCTTCCAACAGAGCCTTTTCTGAGTTTCAGCGCTGTACAGACATATTCCTCTTCACCACACAAGTCTTGTAAAGGTAATAATCACAACAGTTTCTATTATCATCCACACAACAGTACAAACATTTAATCTGATGAAAGACAAGCTGCAAACCAACCTAGAGATTCCTATCCTTTTGAGAGGTCAGTAGAAAAACTGGGTTAATTAGAAAGCAGATTGAAAAAGATTTTCTATCTGGCTTTTCCTTGACACCCTTAAGCCACCCATTAAAATGAGCAACATTTCCTTTGAAAAAATCACTCTATGGACGGCACCTTTTGAGACTGCTGAGTGGCTGCGTGTCGTGGCTGAAAACGATGGAGTGCCAACTCTCTAAATGCAAGTCACTGGGAAAGGCAGGCCACCCGTGTCAACCCCCCTACGCCAACGTTAAGTCAAACGACTGGAATGTGAGATGAGAAGAACGCCAGGGTTCTCTGATTCCAGAGCCGGTGAGTACACTGGGACGGAGAAGAGGTGTTCACACCAGGGGCAAAAGAATCTAGGGAGGAAAAAGTAGATCCATAGCAGAGTCCCAGGTCTGGGAAATCTCCACCGAAAAGCAGAAAGGGTGAGACAGAGGGACACCTCGAGGTGGAGTGGCTGGGGTACTTTCGAGGATGGTGGGCGCCAGAGCGCCGTCCTGTCCTTCCCCGA